ACACACACACACACACACACACACACACACACACACACACACACGCCGTAAGATTGTCAGTAACAAAATCCAGCTTAGGGGAGAGAACCTTAAAGTCTAGAACCTGGTACAAGGACGCTGGCAGGTATAATTCGATGGGACCTCCATGACATTGGAGTAGGGGGAGTTCCAAAAATGTCTGAATGCCTCTTTATCCAGGTCTAGGATTTCCCAAACTTGGATCACAGGGGGCACTTGCAAAAAAAATGCAGTTTTCCTGTCACTGCCTAGGAGATGTTGGGTTTAGTACATTCTGGCTCAGGATCAGGAATTCGGATGTTAAGGGATTCTTATGCTCTGGAAACTAGAAACAGTGCCCTGGGGCAGCAGCCTGTGGAGTAGTGAATCCTGTAAGGCAATGGGGTCTTGGTGTCAGTCACCCCCCCATTCCTAATCTGTTTAGAAACTGCAAGATCCAATTCCAATGCATTAAAGAAAACACTCGTGTGTGTATAAGTCCCAGTAGACTCTTGCGCTTGTCAAATGTACCTTGGGGTGTTCACATTCTAGTTTTAAAGAACGCTTTGGGTCCCTTTGTGATTCAGCAGTTCCTGGAAGATGGCCTGTCCTACCTGGATTATTCTAGTGTGTGGAGGTTGCTGGGAGGGGGCCCCAGGATGGCAGGAGCTGGGGGATCTTTACTGGGCTTTGTAGGAAGACCAGCTCAACTGGTTCCAGAGTCATGAATTTGGACCTAGGTATGCCTGCCTCCTGCAGTTCATACTGATCATTACCCCCCCGCCAAATTTACACATAGAGCTCATTGTCACACATGGATCCCCAAGAACACACATCTACAGAGAGTTGTGAGAAATCTGAGGTTTCTTCCCGATGAATCACTGCTTCCTGCCTTCTTCCTCCACCCGCTTCCAGCCCTGCCCATTCTTGCTAAAGGACAGCTCTAATGTTTCTTAAATTCCACATATGAGTGAAAGCATATGGTATTTGTCTTTCTTTGACTTACTTCACTCAACATTATGCTCTCTAGCTCCATCTGTGTTGTTGTAAATGACAAGATTTCATTCTTTTTTATGGCTGAGTAGTATTTCATTGTATATAGACTCCACATCCTCTTTATTCATTCATCAGTTGGTGGACATTTGGGCTCTTTCCATAATTTGGCTATTGTGGACATCGCTGCTTAAAACTTCAAATTAGCATTTTTGTATCCTTTGGGTAAATACCTAGTAGTGCAACTGCTGGATCATAGGGTAGTTCTTTTTTAACTTTTTGAAGAACCTCCATACTGTTTTCCAGAGTACACAGGATGCCCTAATGCCAGCTTGCATTCCCACCAACAGTGTAAAAAGAATTCTCCTTTCTCTGCATCCTCACCAACACCTGTTTCTTCCTGTGTTGTTAACTTTAGCCATTCTGACTGGCATTAAGTGATATCTCATTGTAGTTTTGGTTTGTATTTCCCTGATGATGAGTGATGTTGAGCATCTTTTCATGTATCTGTATGTCTTTTTTGGGAAAATGTCTACTCATGTCTTCTCCCCATTTTTAAACTGGATTAACTATTTTTTTGGGTGTTCAGTTTTACAAGTTCTTTATGTATTTTGGATACTAACTCTTTATTAGATATGTCATTTGCAAATATCTTTTCCCATAAAGACAGCTCTAACGGAGTAGCTTCTGCTCAAAATCCTTCAGTAGTTCCCATCTACATCAGTCAGGCTGATGTGCTCTGATTTGACATCAGGACTGCTATAATCTGGATACAATTCCTATCCTGAAAGGCAGAATAATGGCTCCCAAGGGTGTCTACATTCTAACCCCTGGAACGTGTGAATGTGTTACATGGCAAAAGGGACTTTGAGATGGGGAGATCATCCTGGATTATCTGGTTGGGCCCAACCTAATGACAGGAGCCCTTAAAAGTGGAGAACCTTTCATGGCTGTGGGAAGATGTGATGATGGAAGGTCAGAGAGATAGGACATTGCTGGCTTTGAAGATGGAGGAAGGGGCCACAAGCCAAGAAATGGGGGTAGCCTCTAGAAGCTAGAAAAGGCAAGGACATAGATTCTCCCCTAGACCCTCCAGAAAGAAATGCAACCCTCCAGACATCTTGACTTTACCCCAGTGAGACTCATGTCCACCCTCTCCAGAACCATAAGGCATTACATTTGTATTAAGACACTAATGTGGGCGCCTGGGTGGCTCAGTCGGTTAAGCGGCTGCCTTCGGCTCAGGTCATGATCCCAGGGTCCTGGGATCGAGCCCCACGTCCGGCTCCCTGCTCGGCGGAGAGCCTGCTTCTCCCTCTCCCTCTGCCTGCCACTCTGCCTGGTTGTGCTGTCTCTCTGTCGAATAAATAAATAAAATCTTAAAAAAAAAAGACACTAATATTGTGGTAATCTAGGACAGCAATAGGAAACTAATACATTCCCCATCAAGGTTCCCTCCAACCAGTTTGTCCCTGGCTATTCTTCCCCTCCCCTGATGCCACGTGTTCCCCTCCCTCCACACCTGTGCTCATGCTGCTGTCCCTGTCCAGGACCCTTAGGTGGCCTTTCATTCCACCCTGTCCTCAGCACTGACCACCCACCAGAGGCCCCATCCTGGGGGCTCCCCACTGAACCATAAACTCCTTGAAGACATTGTCTGTGATTGATCTTCCTCCGAACTCCATGGCCAGGAGGGGTCCGCGGAGGTTTGCATCATGAACTTGGGGCATCTTGTGTAGAACCTCTGGTTCTTAGCCCCTAGCTGCATCAGGATTACCTAGGAATCTTCACACAAGTCCTAATTCTACCAAATCACCATGGAAGAAAGGGAGGCAGCTCCACGTGTATTACTGGGGGAAGGTTTCGAAGGTTCAGAGTTAAGTAGAAGAAGCAGTAGGAAGTCAAAGATTGAGTAGAGCATGTTGCCATTTGTGTGAAAAGGGGAAAAAATATTTACGTCAGTTAATGAAGAATTGTCTCTCTTTGGAAAGATACGAAAAATAGGTAAAAAGACATAAAGCCCTGGAACTTTCTGAATTCTGTACCAATATACATATTATCTATTCACAAAAGTAAGTAAAATTTTAAATATTCAAAATACTGATTCTGGCTGTCTTGCTAGAAAAGATCCAGGATGTCGTCTGCCAGCTCATTCTAAGTCAGGAACTGAGTTGTCAGGAAGAGGGCAGACTTGAGAAGCAAAGGATATTTGGAAGCATAAACTTACAATCCACTTAATGAGAAAAATGAATAGAAAGTCCTCCAAGGGATGTGAGCCAGGCCTGGGAACCCACTGATTGAGCCCCATCTCTGCATTTTATGGATGAGGAAAGAGAGGAAGAGTGACTTCCCAAAGCTACACAGCCAGTCAGAAGCACAGGCCAGTGCCCCAGGAATGATTATGACAATGACATTGACTCCCAGCCCCTGCTCACCTTCAGGCAGGGACCCTGCTGACTCACCGGGCAGGAGGACAGGATGATAGAGAAGAAAACACCATCTTTAATTAACCCACCTGCACAGAAACCAGGGTACACCCCCTGGCTTGCAAGGTCCCAGTGAGAAAAGAACTTGGTCCCTTGCAAAAACCATCTTATAAAAACAAAAGGCTTCAAAGCACCAGTGGCTAAACCCGTTGAGTAGAAAGGAGGCTGGGGAGTGGGGGTGGGAGGAAAGGGCTGGAGACAGGAGTGGGCTGGTGGCAGGATAGCAGCCAGGTCTGAAGGGAGCTGCCCCCTTCTTGAACGGAACCCCTAGCTACCTGGGCAGACCATATGGGACCTCAGTGCCTGGGGTGACCACTGGAACTCCTGGGGCTGGCTCCTTGGCAGAGCACTGCAGAGCGGATGGCGGGGTGGGGTCCTAGCTCAGGATGCTTTGGCCTCAGATGTAGGGAAGGTTAGATCAGAGGGTAGAGAGCAAGGAGTGAAGGGTCACCATGGATGGGCTCAGGCATACAAACCGTCTGTGTTTCCCTCCCATTCCCCCACACCTCCTGCCCTCCCTCTTAATCCAGGGCCACTCCTGTTTCACAGACTGGGAAGCTGAGGGGTGCCCCTCCTGCCCTTGGACTCACGGCCAGTACACAGGAAGTAAGGTCCTCAGGGGTGTCTGTGGAAGGAGCTGGGGAGAATGAGCTCTTCTCTCTATTTGCTCTCAGGGGCGCTGGCCCTCCCGACCCCACACCACGACCCACACTCCCAGTCTGCCTCTTCACAACTCCCTCTGGGCTTGTTAGAGGTTTCTCTTGGACATTGGAGTGGTCATAAACGCTGGTGATCTTTGAAAACTGGTGATCAGGAGGTGCTGACCAGCTGTCTTCCATTCTGGAACCTTCCAACGGGTGACGTGGATGGAGCCATCAGGGGTTGGTGGAGTTGCTGAGAGGACAGGGGATCGTGGCTGCAGCAGACCCGGCCTCAGGGACCTGGAAGGGGGTGGGGTGGCTGAGATATGCCCGCTCCCCCTTACTGTAATGAGCTTGAAAGGTTGGCCAAGGGTGGATGGGGGCCGAGTCTAGGAGGGCTTCCCTGTGGGTCAGGCTGAATTCAGGGCTCTGGGCTCTGTTCATCTGGTTCCCAACAGGAGAACAGGTATATTGCTTCAAGAGAGGCGCTGGCGAGAGGTGGTGGTGGTGTGTGTGATGTAGATCACGTGGGTTCTAGAGTGTCCCAGCTGGATGGGGGCCTGGAAATGGGATTCAGAGACCAGACACTGGGTTTTGGAGTCTGAAACTACAGTAGGTATGCTGTGTTCAAGGCCTGCCTCCACCAAAAGCCTAGCTGTGTGGCCTCAAGCAAATCGCTTCCTATCTCCGGGCCTCAGTTTCCACATCTGCAAAATGGGAATTATAATCCCAGCGTAGCCCCTGGAATTAAGAGTCAAATGAAAAGGCTAGAAAGAGCTCCGTCTTCTAAGAGATTATTTTAATTGAGGGAAACTGAGGCCCAGAGAGGGCAAGGAAGGGCCTTGCCAGATGTCACACAGAGAGTCGGTGATGGAGCTGCAGTTGGAACCCAGGACTCCTGCTTCTAGTTCACAGTAACTCTCCCCAGGGCTGGTGAACAAGTGTGGTGAGATGGGGCGAATGCCATTTCTCTCTGGACAGGGGACCGGAAGTGGGGTGAAGGGTTTCTAAAGGGAGCGGCTGGAGAAGGGAGGGAGGCCCCAGCGCACGCCAAGGCTGAGATAAAAAAAATACAAACCCCGCGATCCCCTCCCCCGCCCAGCCCGTCCCACCCCTGGAGCCAGGCTGGAAGGGCCAAGTCCAAGTCTGCCGCAGACCCAGCCGGCGCAGGCTGCAGTCGGTTCGCGAGCCGCCAGGGGGCGCGCCTGCCATTTCGGCCCGAGCTCGGGCCTGGGCTTCAGTCCGGCCGGCAAGCTCATGGCAACTGGATGGGCGCGGGACAGAAGCTACCCCGACCTGCAGGAAACAAAGGCAGGTTAGGGAAGTGGACCCGCAGAGAGATTCAGCTGCCCTCCCCGCGCCTCCCTGCCCTTCTTTCCCCTACAGCAACGCCCTAGTCCCTCCACCCCACCCCGCTGGGCACCATGACCCACGTGTACAGAGGCTGCAGTTGTAAATGCGACGTCTTCTGGGGCGCCTGGTATCCGTAGGAGTCAAAGCCACCGATGAAGTCAACTGCGGAAGGGGAGGTGGCGCACAGTTAGGGATGAGCCTGTGGGGTATGAGTTATGGGAGGCTAGGTCCTGAAAAGGAAGAATCTGAGGGCCAGACCCCTGTACAGGGCCTTAGGGCGGGGCTTTGCTGCCAGAGCGGGATTTTCAGGAGCTCAGCCAGAGTGGGCCAAAGCCCAAGTGCATAGAAAGCCTCGGGGGGCGGGCCGTCCTTTAAGGGAGCAGGGCTTGAGCCACTTAAGGGGGCAAGACCTGGGAGGTGTGGGTGGACGGTAGTCGGGGGACGAGGCTGGGCACGGGAGGTACTTGGTAGGGGCGAGCCTCGTGGAGCTCCTCCGAGGGACAGAACCTAAGAGGAGTGGGTGGAGAGCAGTGCTGGAGCCGTGCACTGGGCACCTGGATGTCTGGGTCACAGCCCAAGATGCGCTGGCTATGCAGACCGCCACCACCCCTGCCGCCTCTTCTTCCCCACCAAGAGTTGGCCAACCCAGGTCTCCTCCCGCCTAGGCCGCGCGGGCCTCTGTCCAGGGTGCTGAAGGCACGGGGTGGTGTGTGGCTAGGCTTCCCCGTTCCCTAGGGACTCGGCACTCACAGCTGTCCTCCTCCTCCAGGAACACTTTGCTCACGTAGCAAGCGAACACGAAGCCAAACAGCTGGGGGTGAAAGGAAAGAAGACAGAAGCTCTTCCTCCACCCCCTGCCTGGCCGGGCCCAGAAGGGCGGGAGGGACTGGGTGTCTGAGGATGAAGGCCAACCCATAACAACTTCAAGTTAAATGACTGGGCTTTATAGTCAAACATACCTGGTTCCATTATCCGTTCTGCGAGTGGACTTGGACAAGTCACTATTTTACCTCTTTGGGCCTCAGTTTTCCTAGCTGTCTGGGCAATACTTTACTGATTTGTTAAGAGGAACGAAGATTATGTGGCTTTGGGTGTGTGGAGTGCTGAGGGCAAGACTGGGGCCTATATTACTATCTTGGAGCCATTCTTCTTTAACTCTCACAACTCTACACAGTTGATGTGGTCATGAATTTCTGTAAATAAGCATATAAGCTTGGAGAGGGCAAGTGACTTGCCCAAGGTCACACAGTGGATACACTGGAGACTGGGTTGACTCATAGTCTGATGGCTCATCCTATTCATTAAACCTGCTCACTCCTGAAATGCGAGCTGGGGCAGGGGGTGAAGGGAGGAGATACAAGATATGGAGACAGAGCCAGGCAGAAGCACAGGCAGGCTGGAAGATCTAGGTTCTCCCCTTCTTAACTAGAGCTGAACAAAGGGGTTGGGGTGGAGTCCACCTCTAGGAGCGTGTGGGCCAGGGAACAGGAGGACTCACAGCCAGGAAGATCTGCAGGGCACTGCTGAGTGCTTCGATGTAGGGATAGTCAAGCAGGCAGCCGGTGACAGAGATGACATGGTGGTCTTCCAGGGCCAGGCGGGAGTTCAGGACAGGTGTCACCAGGCAGCCTGGCCCATTCTCCATCCACCAGGAGCGGTGCAGGGACGTGTTGAAGGTCATGATGAAGTCCCGGTCCTGGGGGCAGAGGGGCCTAGGATACTGAGCTGGGGCCAGGGGCGGGGGGATCTTTCTCAGGCCCCAGGAAACTTTATATAAGATCTAGGTCACACCTGGACTGTTGTAGCAGCCTCCTCTCCTGGCTTGCTTTGAAGAGTGTGAGGGAGTCCATTTCTGCAAGTCTATATTTGGCCAGTAGGTGGCGCTTGATGACTACGTAGGTCTCACACTTCCATCCGAGAGGGAAGGGCTGGTGCTGACCGACCCATAGGAGCCCCAAAGTTTCAGGGATGGAAGGCACCCTAACAGTGGCTGAGTCCAGTTTTCCAGCCATGGGTGAAATCCTCAATACAGACCCCTTCACAGCCCGTTCAGCCTCTCCACTGCTCTCTGGGTGTGGCCCTGGGCAAACCTGTCCTCTCTAGTCCTTGGTCTCCCCATCTGAAATGCAGAAGGGGCTGGCCTGGATCAGAGGTTCTCACCCACGGCATACATCTCTGTGTTTATCAATCCATTCATCATGCAGCCTGTTAACAAATATTCACTGGGTGCTGACCAGGTGCCAAGCCCTGCGCTGGGATGTCTGATCTCATTTCATCCCCGGCAACCACATGAAGTGGTTATCTAGACAGGGAAACTCAATCTCAGGGAGGGTGAGATACATGCCCAGGGGTCACAGTTTGGAAATGCGGGAGCCGGGATTCAGATCTAGCAGAACGACAAAGCCAATGTTCCCATTCATATATTTTCCCCTCTTACATACTAAAAATAGAAGTTGCGTCCTCTGGGCCTGCTCCTCCACCAGCTAAAAACTTCCCCTTTCTTCAATAGTTCTGCACGGGATCTGGTCCACTCGATTTTCCCCAAAGACTACTTTGTCTCTTTCCCTTCTGAAAATACTGATCAGAACTGGACTCAAATCTTTGTGGCCTAAGCAGCAAATGCTGTACATGACATTTTCACCTCCCTTGCACTGAACACGTGTGGGGCCCACCCAAGAGCACTTTTCAGGGTCACTACAAGTGGTTGGTTTCTACTGAGCCTGTGATCAAGTGGGACCCCAGCCCATCTTCATGGCCCCTCAGCCTTTATCTGCTCCATCATTTGTTTCTGAGAAGTGCAGAAGAGGCCAGAAACTAAAATGTGGGGGTAGGGTCTGCGGAGCATAGATCATTTGGGTGTGTAGAGGGAGGTCTCTTCAAGAGATGATGCCCCAGACCAAACTAGGAGCCCCTGGGTAGGGGATGGGAAAGGTCAGGCTCTGCCCTCTGGCATTGCCAGGCCTGAGGCTTACCTGGGACAGCTGTCCAACCTCCAGGTAGAAGCAGATGATAAATGCATTCCAGCCAACCCAGAGCACCAGCCAGGCTGCATACTGGGGAAAGGAGAGGTGGGATCAGGGTGGGGCCTGGGGGAGTGGGGATGGGGCCTGTCAATGGAGACAGAGCTCAGGGACCAAGGGGACCTTTGCAAGGAGAAATGATGACAGTATCTCACGCAGAGAGCACTTTAGAGTTTACAAATCATTATTACATCCATCGGGTCCTTACAACAGCCCTGCATGGAAGGCACTGTTCTTTCTCTAAAGATAACCAACATAAGCGCTAGAGAGGAGGTATCAGTTTTCCAAGATCACACAGCTAGGAAGAGATAGGGCTGCTCCTCAGGCTCCAGTCCTCTGGCGGCTAATCCGATGCATTCTGCAGAGAACAACAGACACAGCCTGGCTCCGCAGAGCTGGAGAGGAGCGGGGTATTTCCACCCAAGTCCTGGGCTTGCAATTCCAGTGCTGTCACCCAGCACACAGCGCTGCTTAGCAGAGTGCCTGGGGCTCTCCTGAGAGCTGGAGAGAAGGATTCTCCCATCCCGGGTGAGACAGAGCTTCGGAAGGGCCCTGCCCACCCAGCTTCTGGGAGGTTCAACCTGTGGGAGGCGGGCAAAGCCCAAGAATGAGCCAGAATGGGCTGTGGCAGGAGCATGGCAAAGCATGTCATTGTCATCACAGGTGTCCCTTTTCCCTCCAAAGAGGCACGTGATGGGTCACTGAGGAAAAGCAGGGGAGAAGGGTGAGCCTAGCTAAAAACAGGAGTTTAACAGAGACCATCAAGGACCAGGGCTTGGGAAGAGGAAGCAGGAGAGGGAGCCAGAGACACAATCCACTCCTGGGATCAGAGCACAGAAGGCACTGACCTCAAAGCCCCACTTGCCATCATACCACATTCTTGATGAACAGCAAAGGACCAAAGCTGAGCCAGCCTCTTAAGGCAACCTGAGAAACCAGAGAAGATGAAGTCTGTCCCTCCACTGGCTTACTGAGGCAGCGTGGGCATGTATCAAGAGCCTTCGCTCTGGATCTGATGCTCTAATCCTGCCACTATTAGCTGTGTGACCTTAGGAAGCCTTGTAACCTTTCTGAGCCTCATTTCCTCATCTGGAAAATGGAGATGGTATGATATCCCTTGCAGGGCTGTTGTAAAGATAAGTAAAATATGCGAAACTTTTAGCAGTGTGCTTCACACACGGTAGACACTCACTAAAATGACCCAGCAGGTTAATATTTGGATTCTTCCCTAGGAAATCCTTTAGGGAAAATATCAATCTCGTCTCTCTGCTGAGCAAAGAAGCATTGGGACTTGGGCATCCACCACCAGCCGGGCTGGAGCTAAGACAGGGCAGCGGTCTGGGCACCCAGGGAAGGCGGGGCAGTTCTGGCTGGAGGGGTAGGGGGTGGGAGGGGCCAAGGGAGCCATACCAGAATGAGGTACCGGGAACGGTACTGCACGGTGCCAAAGATGCCCAGGATGACTGCCATGATGTGCAGGAAGTTGGCTAAGATAGGAGCCCATTGATAGCCCAGGAAGTCAAAGATCTGCCGCTCCAGCGCAGCGACCTGTGGGAGAGAGCAGGCTGAGGCCACGGTCACCACCTGAAAGGGGAGGACAGGGACTCCTCCTTGACCTCGTGGAGCAGGTGACACCCCTTACCATGGTGATGAGGCACTGTGGCCTGACTGTACACAAGTCCAGAGCCTTCCCAGCCCCGCAAGAGCACAGGGAGATGGGGAGATGGAAGCAAGTCTGTGGAGATGAACTGAGACGGAGCCCTGCTCATCACTTTGGGGACAGTTAACAGAAGGGAGCCGGGGTTCAGAACGCCTTCCTCCCTGCCAAGAGGCGCTCCCCATTAGCACCTGCCCCTGCCTCATGTGGGGCTCGGAGCAGGTGGAGTTAGGATCCAGACCGCTTCCCCCAGCCCTGGCCAAGGGCTGAGCCACGGTCCTGAAGGGCCCAGGAAAGTCCCTGGGCCTGAGTCCCCTCTTCCAAGGACTGCTATCTGGAGGTTGCCCTGGCCCATGAAATCTATGGGCTGCAGAGAAAGGAATTTTTTTTTACTCCCCTTCCCCAAGGGAGCTACAGTAGGTTGCAAAATTGACCTCAAGTTCTTTCTCTCCCTGTCCCCATGCTCTTTGGCAGTACCCTTCTACAGTAACTCTGTGCTTGGTCATGTGACTTGCTTTGCCCAATGGGACTTTAGGAAGCATAGTGCAAGTGAAGACCTTTTGAAAAAATTGCTTGTGCCCTGGAGCTTGCCCACTTCCTACACCTGTAACACAGAGAACACCATGTGGAAGAGCTCCTGTGACCCGCTGGAGGATGAGAGGAGAACCAAGCCCCCCCAGATGACAGCCTGTCAACCCTCAGACATGTGAGTGAGGCCATCCTAGATCATTCCGATGCCAACCAACCCACCAACTGACCAAAAACACGTAGCCAGACCAGAAGAATCACCCAGCTGACCTACAGAATCAAGAGCTAAATAAAATGATTGTTTTAAACCACTGCTCTGGAATGATTTGTTACCCAGCAAAAGCTAACCGATACAGGATTCAATCAATCCTCCCTTTCCAGGAGCCCCTGGTTCAATATTTCAGCTGATACAGTTAAGAACAAAGGTGCCAATGACATCCATTGTTATTGACTGTCCAATACTTCTTCTTCTGGTGAAAGAACCCATCTCTTTGTTTTGGGAACTGCCTCCTGGACCTTTAGTCCATGTGCCTTGGGTGAGGCTGAGCCCACCTCTAATTTCAGCAGTGGGCTCATGATGCAGTCCTAACCAGATAATCGACACACAGGGATCTGGTCAGGGCCGGGCACTAGCCCTGTGGCCTGCTTCTGAGAGTCACCCCAGAGAGCTGCTGAAGCAGCTGGGACAGAGATGCTATCTGCCAGGGTATCTAAATGGGTACAGTGTCGCTCAGAGCTGTTGGTGGCTGTCTTTGCCATCTCAAAGGGGCAGAAAGGGAGAAAGAGTGAACAAGCGAGGGGAGTGCCCAGACCACATCGTTTTCGGTCTGAGGATCTAGCCATGCTGAAAACGAATTCTCCCTCCTTGTACTCGTGATTTCTGTCACTTGCAACCCAGAGTCCTGATTAAAATAGAAAGGGAGAGAAGAGGATCCGGCTGGAAAGGGGCAGGAATCCCAGAAGCCGTTTTCCTGGCAGGGAAGTGGGAGGAGGTGGGGCTGACGCTACCACACAGATGGTAAAGCTTGGGCAGAGACCCAAGAAGCTGCAGGCCCAGCCCTGGCACCCACCCACCTGGCGCCACTCTGCCTCTTGTTGGTGACTCCTCCTGCAGGGCCCTGCAGATTGTAAAGAGCTTTCCAAGTTCATCACTCACTGGATGTTCCTTGGCAGAAAGGCAGAGCTGAGATCATGATCTTGTTCTGAAGCAAGAGACCATGAGGCTCAGAGAAGGGAAGTGACCCAAAGTCACACAGTAGGGAGGTGGCAGAGCCAGGCAGTCATTCTGCTTTTCTCTGTCACCTGTCCCATCTTGGCACCAACTTATCAACTTTCCCTGTTGGCACTGGCCTGGGAGTTAAGAGGTGTGGATTCTGGTTGAGAGTCTGACAGACTCTTGGGTGACCTGGGGCAGGCCACCTTCCCCAGTGTGTCTCAAGCTCCTTCTTCCGTACAGAAGAGACCACTTGACTACATGACCTCCAAGGGCCTTCCAGCTTTGACTCTAATGGTCAACTCCCCAGGTTGCTCCCTGCTCCCAACAGCTTCTGCCCCACTTCTGCTCTTCTCCTTTCCACCCTGACTCTGCCAAGCCTTGGGGAGCCCTGGTGGTTTGGGGCCCACTTGATGCTCTCAACTCAGCTTGCATCTGGTTCTGGCAAGGAGACTGCCATCAGAGGACAGAGGAGGTGGCTGAGACAGACTTGCCCAGGCTCATAGTGTATCTGGGGAGACATCTTGCCTAGAAATGCCCCCGTAAAACATGGTATCACCCTGCTCCGCCCCTGGCCCTTGCTCCAACCCCTCTGGGTTCTCGGGGACCTCATTGACAACGCAAGCAGTGGGACAATTACCGCGAAAAGCAATGGCATCACTAAAACTCAGGTTCAAATTGCAGCTCTGTGTGACTCAGTGCAAGTTACTTTCCCTCTCTGAGCCTGTTTCTTCAACTGTAAATAGGGAAGGCAATCCTTTCCCCGAGAAGTTGTTGTGAGGATATGGAGACATCACAAAGACTGAGAGACAACTACACTTAATAAACGGTGGCTAATTAGTAGGAGACTCAACAGGGGAAGCTTCTTAGTTGGGTACCGAAGGCTTGCTGGGAGCTGCCATATTCCTTTCCCCCCCCCCCCCGCCCCCGCTACTACCCCTGAGTGGCTGAAACAACAGTTGAAGTCCTGCCTTCATTTCCCTTTTCCTTTTCTTTAAGATTTTTTTTATTAATCTATTTGACAGAGAGAGAGATAGCGAGAGAGGGAACACAAGCAGGGGGAGTGGGAGAGGGAGAAGCAGGCTTCCCGCGGAGCAGGGAGCCCGATGCGGGGCTGGATCCCAGGACCCCGGGACCATGACCTGAGCTGAAGGCAGGTGCTTAACCAACTGAGCCACCCAGGTGTAAACTTAGTTTTTTTTAAAGTAAACTCTATACCCAACTCAGGGCTCGAACTCACGACCCTGAGATCAAGCATCCCACGCTCTACCAAAGGAGCCAGCCAGGTGCCCCTCCATCTATATTTTTTAATTGAAAATCTGCATCTTATAAATAATCTCAATCCTAAAGTTATTATTTTTTATTAGACAACCAAGTCAGATATTGCAGAACTTCTGCTTGTGCAGCTGCGAGATGTGGCTAATTACCAAATAAAGAACAAACAAATAGGGGGACTATCTTCCCCATCTGGTTGCACCAGGTTAGAACAATAATCCGAGAGCTGCAGTGATTGTAAATCCTAGCTGGCCTTGTCGTGCCTTGTTAGTTTGATGGGAGGACTAGTGTGCAGACAATGGCAACCTGCTCCTTCGGAAAAATTTCAAGTGCACATGCACCGAGGGAAAAAGTGACTTTGGGCTAATTGTTTGTTTTTAACCTGGTCAACCGGTAAGCCAGGTCTTGAGTCTCTCTCCTAGGTGGGCCAGGACTGGGACAGAAGCTCCTGTTGGCAACTGACGCAGGCTCCTGCGTGATGGGGGTGGGGGTGGGGGCTGGCCACTACCCCTGTCCGAGCGCTTTTTCTTTGCATGTTTTTGTTGCTGTTTGTTTGAAGTAGGATCCACACCACCATGGAGCCCAACATGGGCCTTGAACTCATGACCCTGAGATGAAGACCTGAGCTGAGATCAAGAGTTGGATGCGGGACGCCTGAGTGGCTCAGTCAGTTGAGCATCTGCCTTCGGCCCAGGTCATGATCCCAGGGTCCTGGGATGGAGCCCCGAGTCAGCTCCCTACTCAGTGGGAATCTGCTTCTCCCCCTCTCTCTCTCTCAATCAAATTAAATAAAAATCTTAAAAAAAGGGGGCGCCTGGGTGGCTCAGTTGTTAAGCGTCTGCCTTCGGCTCAGGTCATGATCCTAGGCTCCCGGGATCGAGCCCCACCTCAGGCTCCCTGCTCGGTGGGAAGCCTGCTTCTCCCTCTCCCACTCCCCCTGCTTGTGTTCCCTCTCTCGCTGTGTCTCTCTCTGTCAAATGAATAAAATCTTTAAAAAAATAAAATAAAATCTTAAAAAAAAAGTTGGATGCTTAACCGACTGAGCCACCCAGGTGTCCCGGCCAGTTACTCCGTCATCAGAGCGGCCCGCAGAGCTTGGGGTAATCGCTGAAGCCCCTGTGCCTGCCAATGCCCACCCCCTCCAAGACCCAGGATAAGCAGGACATGTGCCCTGACCACCCCAGAGTGACAGATGAGAACAAGTCACCCAGACCCTACGTGGATCTGTCAGACCCACAGAATAAGCCCCACCTGCCTGCCCCTCTGCCCACCCTCATCTCCTCAAGGCCCGATGCTGCTTCGCCTGACCCACGCACCCCACCCCCACCCCTCTCACGAGCCCTTCCAAACCAGTCTGTGCCCCTCAAGCCGCAGCTCCTTCCCTCAGGGGTCCCCCCAGCCCTGCCGTTTGCACCCAAGGATGCTACTTTCTCTGTGCTCCGCTCACATCCCATGTTCCTTGGGCCAAAGGCAAGGTGGGAGCCTCTGGGGTCCCTAAGTTGCTTGCAGGCCCGGACAGCCCCGTGCCCCTGGGCCCAGGCCCTGCGGCTAGTCCACCTCCTTCACTGCTGCCTCCAGGCCCTGCCCTTCCCCGGAACTGAGTTTCATCCCTGCGTCACCCTTTGACACCCAGGAGCCACCCCCTCCAGCACCTCAACCTCTCAACTCTCAAACACCATCCCTGTGACCTTCTCCCCCCAGTGCTCCTCCTCCATGGCCACCGTGTGGACTGTGGCATTGCCACAGCTGCCCCGCCTCCGAAGTCACCAAGTCGACAGCTCCCACTGGACCAGTCCAGCTGGCTTCCCAACACCGCTGACGGGGATGGTGACCAACCGGGTCCGGCAAATCCGGTCCCCTGCCTCTCACCCTCCA